CCTTTTTAAAGTATAAATCCTCAACTTTTGATCTGCAAAGGCAAAAGATTACAAGAAATCTACTTTATTTGACTTTAACTTTATTTGAACTAAAAAAGTACTTGATATTGTTTAAAACAAGGAATTATTGAAAGGTTGTCCATGAGAAAATCAAATGTTGCTTTTCTTGCTCAAATGTTGCTTTTCTTGCTCAAATGTTGCTTTTCTTGCTCAAATGTTCTTGCTTTTCCAGGTTCAATCCTATCTCTAATCTTCTAAATCAAAGTCTAAATGTTCTAATCTTGTTGTGCAATTGCAAATTTTGCTATACAATTGGATTTTCTTTGACACGCAAGTCATTGAAAATAGTTTTGATATCGATAAAAAGAGATGTAGTTAAAACTCGAATAGAAAACGTTCAAAACAGCGCTGCTATTAACAGCGCTGCGCTGCTAACGTTCAAAACCGTGCTGCTATTAACAGCGCTGCGCTGCTGACGTTCAAAACAGTGCTGCTATTTCAAAATGTGTCTCGAGTGATACTCAGTTGTTTAACTGAATATCTTAATTAGCTGCTTAACTGAATATCTTTGGAGACCGATTTTGAACGCTAATTTTATCTATGAAATATTAGCTTTCTTAAAGAACTGTTTCATCCATCATGTATAGAGTGTGTTCCTCGCGAGTAAGTAATTACTTGAGTAAATTTGCATGAGTAATAGCTCGAGTAATTGTCGAGTAATGCGTTTTCTATAAAAATAGCGCGAAAAAAATATAAAAGCAATTTTTTGCGGAAGTTTTTCAAAAAAATCTTTGCACGACGAGTCAATTGAATATCTTTACATTGGAAGGGAATTTCCCACCAAATCAGTTAAACGGCTGAGTATCTTTAAAAAGTGTCGTATATAATGCGGGGCTCGCCATTTTTGCGTCATTCTTTTGCGTCATTTTTTTGCGTCATTTTTTTGCGTCGTTTTTGCGTCATTTTTTGCGTAATTTTTTCCCAGTTGTGCATTTTAAAAAACGCATTTCTCGCGAGGAACACACTCTAATCATGTAGCAAAGAACGCAAGCAAAGTAGCGAAGAACGCAAGGAATTTTTTGATATAAAACTTGAACCGACTTCGCTTTTTTGGATTGTCAGAAATTTGCCTAAGCCTAAGCGTTTTCTATTCGGCCCCATTTTAACTCTACTTAACTACTTTAACTTTAACTTTAACTACATCGCGATAAAAATTTCGTTAAGCAACTCTACTTTAGAGTTTTGTTTTCTTTCTTTTTGTCTTTATCTGTATATCCGGTCCAGGGAAAGGGGCAAAACATATTATTTTTTAAAGTTTGCCTCCCCGGCCTCGAAATCAAAACTTTTTTTGAAGCAAAAGTTGTGTGTTTCTTACACTAGATAGCCATTTTCTTTTAAAAAGTTACATTTTTTCTTCAAAAATCCGCATTTTTCTTCAAGAATCTTCCATTTTTTAATTTCATTGTCTAAAATTTGAATAATTGTACAAAAAACAACAAGAAAGGAGGAAAATTATGGTGGCTGCCGATTGGGGACTATTTTTTGGACTCCTCCGAAAATTTTTTCTGGGTATATCCATAGGGAGAACAATAGGTGAGGCTTTCCAAGAGGAGGGAAAGGTCCCTCCCCTCCGTGGAGGATGCATAGATTAGAACTTTCTCTTTTTTTCCCCCATTTTTCAGTCTTTTATCTCATCTCTATTCATCTCTTATCGATGTTTTTACTTCATTTTTACGCGTAGAGTTGATTCAGAGTTCGTTTTCTTCGACGGCAGAGTTGGTTACGGTTGTTTTGGTTGTTTTTTTGGTAGAGTTGGTTTTTCTATGGCACAGCTCGTTTTTCTACGGCAAAGTTGGCTTTTTCTACGGCATAGTTCGTTTTTTACGCGGCAAAGTTGGTTTTTCTATGGCAGAGTTGGTTTTTCTACGGCACTGTTCGTTTTTTACGGCAGAGTTGGTTTTTCTATGGCACAGTTCGTTTTTTCTACGGCAAAGTTCGTTTTTCTATGGCAGAGTTGGCTTTTTCTACGGCACAGTTCGTTTTTTACGGCATAGTTCGTTTTTCTACGGCAAAGTTGGTTTTTCTACGGCAGAGTTGGCTTTTTCTACGGCAATGTTGGCTTTTTCTACGGCAAATTTGGTTTTTTCTATGGCACAGTTCGTTTTTACGCGGCAAAGTTGGTTTTTCGATAGGAAGCTAAACATTTCCTTCTTCTTTACCACTAAGGCGTGAGTTCAAATCTTCAAATCTCGCTTTAGATGTGCTTTAAATCGTGTACTTGCGCATTATATCTTGTACTCGCGCATTATATCTGTTCTTTTACATCTTTTACACAAGTAAATGCTTTGCACGGGTTTTAAGCTCGGGATTCTCAGCTTTGTTCGTCTAATTTTTGTTGAGACGGTGACCACAGTTGATTTTCAAAATTGGCAACGACGTTATGACGTTGATTTGAATGTCAATTTCAAAATATTAAAAGCCTGGGATCAAAGTTTAATACCAGGCTCTTGAACCAAATAACATAACCATTCTATTTACAAATAAAACAGCCATTCTATTCGCCAATAATGCATAACCCTTCCATTTGCCAATAAACAATAACCATTCTCTTTACCAACTTATCAATTTACCAATACCAATTTACCAAAATCCTACTCCACAACTTACTCCCAATTTCCCCATTCTTCCCACCAAACCTAAGCCACCAAAACAATGACAAACACTTTGCGAAGAAATCTCTTGACTCGGAAAACGAATTTTTCTTTTGCCTTTTCTTTTGCCTTTTTCTTTCGCCTCTTTCTTTCGCCTTTTCTTTTGCCTTTTCTTTTGCCAAATCTTCGACCAATTTTGGCAGTACTGGGAGCGAAAGCCGTTATTATTCTGGATTACACAATAGATTTCTCGGGGAATTGAGAGAAAGAGCATTCCAAAGCATGGACTTCTTCATAAGCACCTCTCCTACTAGTCCTCTCCCACTAAAAACAAATCTTTCAAGAGTTTCGTGAGCGAAGATTTTCTGATGAATATTCCATGTCACCAACTGGTACTAGTTCAATTCGTTTTTTGTCCTCATCATCATCAAAAACTCGCTTCAAGCGGGGTTTTCTAGATCTTTTGCTTTGGGCTTTTGCGGCGAGCAGCTTGGCGCAGTTCGGAGTGCGCTTGTCTACGGCTCACAACTCGTCTATGACCTTGGTTCAACCCCCGGTAGTGCCACTCACTGAGGCTTCTACGCCTAACAGCGGATTTTTTTGATGGTGACATGTTGTCGCCATGGCGCAGTCGGGAGTGCTCTTGACTACAATCCACCTGCGACCGTTTACAACCCGGGTTCGACCCCCATAGTGGCACCCAATCTTGGCTTTTTAGTTTTTTAAATTCTGAAACTTTTCTAGCCAATTCCGTATCTTTCTGGGTATATTTTCTCTTTGACTTTTGCTAATGCTTGCTTTAACTTTGCTTTGACTTTGCTTTGACTCTTCAAATTCGTTCTTTGCATTGGATTTATGTCCTAGGATTTAAAAAATTCTTCATTTTCCCTTAAAGAATTGAATAGTATCGTGAAATTCTCAATAGATTTCAAAAGTGAAAGCTATCCATTAAAGGATATTTGAAATTGAGATTGAAGTGTTTTGAGAAAAATGGGGAGGAGAAGATGACTCACTCTAAAGATGAGAAAAGTATCGCTTCTGCTTTTAGCAGATTTAGATTCATTAGATTTCTACCTGGTCTATATTGGCTAAATCTTTTGTTTTCATTAGTTAAATACTTTGCTGTACTTTGTACAGTAAAGTACCCTGTACTTTGTGCTCTAATCTTCAAAACACACCCTTCCTAGGGCACTGAACTTTCTCGATCCATTTCTTTGTCTAACTTCAAATGCAAATTTCATTTGATATCTGATAATTATGAATATGAAATATATCTTTAAAAAAATTCAGATATAAATTTAGGGTTCCTTTTTCTAAAACAACAATAACAAGGCAATTTCTGGTGGAACTCTAGCAAAAGATCGAAAAAAGCAAAAGATCAAAATCGAAGTCAACCTTTCTTTTCCTCAATCTTTTCCGGAAAAGGATTTTTGTTTAAAACATAAAGCAAAAGAAAAAAGGGACTAAAGGAAGCGTCCAAACTCGATAATGCATCCAAAAGGGAATTCCCCATGGGAGATTTGGGGAAAAAAGGGGAAAGAGGGGGAAAAAGGAGATCTCAGCTAACAATCTTTTCCTCATTTTTTTCACTTTTTAATTTGCTGAACGATGAACGACGAAATGCTTTCTAGAAATACTTTTGGAAAGCATTTCGTCGTTCATATTTTATCCAATTTGTATCCCTTAAACCATATTACTTCCAGAATCCCAGATCTTTTAAAACTTAAAGCTTTTATAGTAAAAGTATAAGATTAGCTTTTAAATCAGATATTTGTAAAATAATAACGTCAATAATTTGTTAATAATAACGCTAAAAGAAGAAAAATTGATATAAAGAGAAAAAGAAAGAAAAGAAAGAAAGAAAAGAAAGAAAGAAAAGAAAGAAAGAAAAGAAAGAAAGAAAAGAAAAGAAAGAAAAAGAAAGAAAGAAAAGAAAGAAGAAAAAAGAAAGAAGAAAAAAGAAAGAAAAATGAGAATGAAAAAAGTGAGTGAATCGGAGAGAGAAAATTCAGACAGACAGACAGACAAAAGTACTGTAGGACTACAGTAAGACAAGACAGAAAGACAGACAGAAAGACAGACATTTATTTTATATGGTAGATATCAATTCTACGCATTCTTTTTTGCAAAATTCAGCTTATTGATGACAAAGTTATGTAAACCAACGTGCTTTTCCCTTTTGCGCACAAATTTCCAATGCCCAGCGATGATTTTTTCACGTTTTTCATCAGCGATGAATTTTTCACGTTCACTCTTACTTCTCGTACTTGTTGTTTTCTATTTCTATCGTTTTATCTCAAAATTTAGATTTCTCTGAAATGTAGCTGACATTTTTTTTTCCAATTCTCGATGCGTTTTCTCTTGCTCGTCACCTGTGTTTTTCAGGTGAGTTTGAAAATGGAAAGCAATAGTTAATGGATCCAATATCGGCTATAGTATCCTTTACTTATCGTAAATAGTATCCTTTACTTACCGTAAATAGTATCATTTACTTACCGTAAATACTGTAATAGTACCCCATCCCCCTCGTACAGTCGCGTAGTCGCAAAAGTTTTTTAGTATTTAGTATTTCATTTTTTCAAAGCACCCGTACTTTCAAAAAATGCGTCTTTGGTATCAAAAAATAGCCCTGAATTTCGGGAGTGGGACAAATGCGACCTTTTTTTTGCGCACCTGGACATTTGCGCACCTTTTTTTTGCTGGAAAAGGCCTTAGGCAAGGCCGTAGAGCTTCGAAAATATTTCGAAAATACTTCCATATAAGAAGGGAATCGTATGCGTAGATTCCGAATTTCGACAAATCAGACCTCGCTGACACGTCAAATTTGGGCTAAAGGGCAAAAAATGCGGAAAAGCGTTAAGTTGCGTAGTTTTTGCCTTTTAGTCCAAATTTGACGTGTCAGCGAAATCTGATTTGTCGAAATTCGGAATCTACGCATACGATTCCCTTCTATGAAAACTTTTTTGAAGCTCTACGACCTTTCCTAAGGCCTTTTCTAGCAAAAAAAAAGGTGCGCAAATGTCCAGGTGCGCAAAAAAAAGGTCGCATTTGTCCCACCCCCCCTGAATTTCAGCTATTTTTTGATACCTAAACGCGCATTGTAGCATAAACCAGTGTCGAGAAAAACTCGTTCAAAGCTAGACTACACCACACTCCCACCATCATTATGAGGGTGGGGTACTATTACAGTATTTACAGTAATATAGTTTTCAGCTGGATAGGATAATATAGGATTCCTTAGCCATTCCCTACAGTAGAATGAATCTGTGCTTTTGTTATTGACTCAATAATTGTTCCTTATTTTTCAGTTCGAAGCTCGGGCGGACGTGCTCGGCTGGGCTGGTTGGTCACCGTGGACACCGTGCTCGAAAACGGTTTTGATTTTTTTGATTTGAATTGAATAATTTTATAAACTTATCAGCAAATTGAATAAGCTACCATCAAAATAAGAAACTTTTACTGAAAACGTGCAAAATGTGTGACAAATATTGTCCAAATTTCCTCTTATTCAGAAAATTCGGTTATCGTTTGTCATTTGAACACTTTTCCACGCACTTCTAAGCCTTTCACTATAAATAAAGTGAAAGCTTAGCGAGTGGTGAGAAGAGGGAATTTCGATCCGGGATTGAACCCGGGATTGTGCGACTTGAAGACAAGCTCGCTAACCAATAGGCTATAAAGGAGCCAATCTTTCACAGGCAATAAAGGCCATAAAGGAGCCAATCTTTCACAAAGCTCTTTTCGGAAAAGTTTGCTGGTAAAGCATAAGAAATAAAAGTGTCATTGAAATCTATTTTCTACTGTTTATAGTATTTTGCAGTAGTCAAAAGGTACTATTTTGTTGTTCCAGTAATCAAATCACTCCAAATCAACCAAATCGAGTATAGAATCTTTAAAGAAATCATTAGATTCTGTTTAATTAAGTATTATTTCAGAATTTATTCAATTTCCCCAATTTTAGTGTGGCGGCGGTGTTTCACAGCAATTGCGTCGTTGTCTCGACGTGAAATGCTCGGGTATTTCCGTTCGATTTCGGGTTTGCAATGCTAAAGTGAGTCGTACGGTCAAAATAAAATAATTCTATTTTTAAATCTTTCATGTTTTACATTTACATTTATATAAAGGGACTAAGACATCTGTCTGTCTGTCTTTCTGTCTTGTCCTACTGTAGTCGCGGCGAAATTCCGGCTAGCCATTTAATCAAACCAACAAATGCTTGTCTTTCTGGCTGTCTACCGTATCCTACTGTATGTCCGTGTCTGTCTGTCTATCCGTCTGTCTGTGCTCTACTTTTCAACCCCCAGAGAATCGTTTGCAATGATTTTTGCGCCGTTGAATAGAGAATTACATGTAGTTGTGCAACATGCTTTTGGATTTTTAAAAAAGCACAATTCGAGTCGCACGTGAAGGTTGAAACTGGATCGTATGGGCGACATACAGGCGCACTATCCACTGCTCCACGGCGACAAAAGCCGTTCATCTCCAAAAAATCCAAAAAAAACCCGTTAAGCGGCTTTCTCGGCTGGTACTTCTATAAACAAATTTGCTTTTTTTGCACTAAAATTTGCATTTAAAATGAGCGGAAGCCTAAAATGGGTAATTTTCAATAAATTTTTTTCATTTAAACTCAAAACCCGGCTCTAGGATGTTGAAATTCGGAATCTACGCACAAAATTACCCTAGAAAAATGTTTTCAAGTTGATTTGGGGCAGAGAAACTATACTTTTATCAACAAAAAGCTTATAACGACGAATAAGGCCTAATATTGAAAGCAAAATATGATCTTAAATCAGTAAATAATATAATCTTGTTGCAGGAATGTGATAAGCCTTCTCGAACGGCGAGGGAAACGGTTTGCGGAGGAGAGACGATTCTATCGAAACAACAGGTCGCATTCTAAGCAAATCGATCACTTATTTAGAATCTAAAATTACATAGTATAGCAATACTTTAAAGCAATACTTTCCCGTAAACTTGATCAATAAAATCTTTTTCTTTTTTTCTAGTGTGAAGTGGTGTGTCGATCGACGAGTTCTGGAGCGAAATTCATTTGGAGAGTCGGCGATGGGACACCGTGTCAAGGGACAACTCATCGCTCCGTTTGTGCAAATGGAGCTTGTCAGGTTTGCAGTTTGCAGTCCATTTTGCAAATGGAGCAACTAGCTACTGTGTGCAAATAGCTACTGTGTTTTAATCACATGAATAATTTGGTTAAAAAAAACAATACACAAGCACCCCTAAGCCCTAAATAAAGAAGAAAAAAACCCATATTTGGTTGAGCAAAATTATCCGGACAACTTTTTTGGAAAACTGCTTTCTTTGCTTAATTAAACGCTTAATTTATTGTCATTCAAATTTATTCAAAATCTCAAATACGGTTCCAATAGGGTTCCAATACGGTTCCTATTTTGATCTAATACGGTTCGAATACGGTTCCTATTTTGATCTAATACGGTTCCAATACGGTTCCTATTTTGATCTAATACGGTTGTATAAAAATGTTATATAGAGATTTGTAGCGCTTAATCTTGGTTACATTTACAGTACTGGACAATGAAATATCATATTTGAAAAATGATCGTCACGTTTGCACGTCTGGAACTTCGTTGTCTTTGACTTTAAACTGTTAGTGTTATACATTTTCTGAAAGCTCTTTTCAAGGGCTACACAGTGGTAATATTAAGGGGGGTAGTCAAAACAGCGCCATAATAGAAAACGTTCAAAACAGCGCCGTCAAATTTCTCAAAATCCAAAAAACCAAGCCGGTTCAAGTTTTATACCAAAAAAATTCCTTGCGTTCTTGGCTACATGATGGGTGAAACAGTTTTTTAAAAAAGTTAATATTTCATAGATAAAAAGCAATAAAAAGAGCACTCAAAATGTGTGTCGAGTGATACTCAGTTGGTTAACTGAATATCTTTAGAGACCCATGTTGAATGCTCTTTTTATCTATGAAATATTAACTTTTTTAAAAAACTGTTTCACCCATCATGTAGCCAAGAACGCAAGGAATTTTTTTGGTATAAAACTTGAACCGGCTTGGTTTTTTGGATTTTGAGAAATTTGACGGCGCTGTTTTGAACGTTTTCTATTATGGCGCTGTTTTGACTACCCCCCAATATTAATATTTAGAAATATCGTATTTTTTGACGCATTTCAGCGCGCGCGAAAGTGACGATCGTTTTTCAAATATGATATTTCATTTTCCAGTACTGTATCTAATAAAAACTTTTCAATCGGATTTATGCAAGTCATTTAACAAGTCCTTGAATGAGCACTAGTCCAACTAGTCGATTTCTATCCGGCGCGCTGCCATTTTTGACGATTTAACGACGATTTGCTTGATTTGATTTGCTGTCTTTCAAAGTTGATGCATTTATATTATGATATTTGTCTAAATTTAACTAAGGAGTGAAAAAAAACTAAAAGAATTAGTAGAGAGAAACCTTCAGAGAGAAAGAAATGTTTTTCGAGAAGTTTTTATGTTAAATTTGAATTTCTGTCACAAATTTTAAGTGTTAATATTATCTTATTGTTAAATATTAATTTGAATGAGAAATGATTTGAAAAAAGAAACGACGACGCGGCGCTCCCATCGACTACCTCAAATGGCGGCGACGTCGCATTCCAATTGACGTCGCCACCATTTGGAGATAGTCGATGGGAGCGCCGCGTCGTCGTTTCTTTTTCAAATCATTTCTTTTATCAAAATTAATTGAATTATTGTTTTACGCGATAAATTTTGCGTTTCTCCTTGAAATGAGAAAGAACTCTTTCCATCATTTCCATTTGGGAACCGAGTGGAAAATCCGGAACTTTTCGTAGCTCCACCACAGCTGAAGCTCGTAGCTCCACTACAGCTAAAGCTCGTAGCTCCACCACTTTTTGTAGCTGAAGTCCAAAACTAACTGGAAGATGGTTTGAGGAGTTGAATGGAAACACCTCATCTTCTGGACCGTTACAAAACTAAATTAAGCCTGCGAAAACCACTTTTCCAAAAAGTTGTCCGGATAATTTTGCCCAACCCCTGTACATGGGAAAAAAGAACTAATAATCTAGCCGATTGAATTGAACCCTTGACCTCCCGACTAAGATATAGGGCTCTTATCCAGTCGGCTATGGGGGCCATATTGCAAAAATCCGTCTAAAACTGACAGAATCCTTTTAAATCTCAACTTTTTCTCGATTCAGGCAGTCGGCTGTGACGATGTCGTTGGTTCGACTCTCCGTTTAGATGCTTGTGGTGTTTGTGGTGGACAGGGTGATACGTGTGAAGCGGCACATTTTGATTGGAAAGATTCGGGAGAATACACGCCGTGTGCAAAGTGAGCAAAATTTGTCAAAAAGACTTAGAAACTAAGGGGGTTTCCTAGCGATTTGTACTTGCATTTAAAATTGCACGTGGTTAATAGCTTGTGTGTCTTAAATATATTTAAAAAACGAAATTTTATCGATACAAGCAATAATCCAGTGGAAAATGAATAAAAAGGGTTAAAAATGAAGAAATTAAAAAAATATAATAAAAATAGAAATAAAAGCAATAAAAATAATAGACATACAGTGGTCCACAAATGTATTGTCCCATTGCCATCCAAAAGTTTCTTTCGTATGAAAATCTTGCAAAATAACGATATTCCCAAAAAATGTAGGGTATTTTGCTTACCCATAATACTCTACTTTTCAGGATTATAAGATTTATCCGTATACATTGCATAAAAATTTAAGTATAAAACAAAAACAATAAGTTACTTAACAAATAGCTCCACAAAAGTAATGTCCCATTTGCAAAGAATTAACAATTTTTTCAAAAAATTGATATTTGCCTGGTCCTCCTTTTGCTTTTATCGCTTCATTGAGTCGATCCGGCATGGAATCCACGAGATTTTTCAAAAGACTTGGGCGGATGGTGGCCCAAAGACGTTGAATGTGAACCCATAAGGCGGCCTTCGAATCGAATTTCTTTCCCTTGAGGCGCGACTTCACAAATGACCACAAATGTTCAATTGGATTGAGATCCGGTGAGTAGGGAGGTGGATTGATCAATTTAACACGATTTGCCGCAAACCATCCGGGCAGACGAGCTCTGGTACCATTTTGAAGTGTCACCAGCCGTCCCATCATCAGTCTCGACTTGTGTTTCGGGTCGTTGTCCTGGTAGAGCATCCATCCAGGAGGCATGGTTTGAGTTGCAAAAGGAAGCATTTGAGTCTCCATAATGTTCTTGTAGGCCACAGCATCCATCGTTGAGTTGACGTGAACTAATGGACCTACTGAAGTTCGTGACATCGCTCCTAAAGAAAAACAGTCAGGTGACAAAATACTAAAAAGGTTCTTACCCCAACACATTATGTTTCCACCGTTGAATTTCACGGTAGGCCGAATGTACAGTCAAACCTCTCTATAACGAACCTCGATATAACGTAAACCTCTCTATAACGTAAGGCGTGACCGGTCCCGGCCGACGTTAAGCTATATAAAACGGCACTCTATATAACGTAAACCTCTATATAACGTAAGCTATAGCCGTCCCGTGAGTTACGTTATAGAGAGGTTCGACTGTACTTGAGTGCGTATCGCTTTCCAGTCGGTCGCCGAATAAGATGGTTTCCATCCGCGTGAAATAAATTGATTTTTGTCTCATCGGTAAATAGCACTTTCGCCTAAAGACGTGTCGTCCAACTTCGGTAGGTCCGTGCAAAGTCAAGGCGCTGCTTCCGGTGCTTAGATTTTATCAGAGATTTACGGGCAGCCCTTCTTGCATATAATCCAGCTTGATTTAATCGTCATCTGATCGTTTCCGGCGATACAACCCTGTTAAATTGATCCCTCATCATTTGGCTTCCATCGGTTGGTGTTTTGTTAGGATCGTTTTTCACCATTTGGATCACGGCTCGATCTTCTTTTGTGGTTGTGATTGGTCGTCGGCCACTCTTGAGGCCTCGATGAAGGTTTCGGTCGACTTTTGATTGAGAAAGAATGCGGCACACCGTCCTTCTCGAGCAATTAAAGAGGTTGGCCACATCCTTTCCCCGCATCCCATTTTCCCGGGCCTTGGCGATTCGGAGTGTCAAGGTTTTTCTTGCCAGCCATCTAAATAATAAAATAAAATACATTTAATGTTCATAGAACGCGGAAATAAAAAGAGTAATCAAGGAAAACATCAATGGGACATTACTTTTGTGGAGCTATTTGTTAAGTAACTTATTGTTTTTGTTTTATACTTAAATTTTTCTGCAATGTATACGGATAAATCTTATAATCCTGAAAAGTAGAGTATTATGGGTAAGCAAAATACCCTACACTTTTTGGGAATATCGTTATTTTGCAAGATTTTCATACGAAAGAAACTTTTGGATGGCAATGGGACAATACATTTGTGGACCACTGTAAATAAAAATAAAATAAAATAGAGATAAAATCAAAATAAAAAAGTCACAAATGAAGAAAAATGCCGCCGTAGCTGAAATGTCGCCGCGACTACAGTAAGACAGACAAAAAGACAGACAGAGACTAGCAAAAAAATGACTCGTAAATAGATGTTGATTGTAGATTCAACCCTTTTCTTTTCTCCACTAACAATTATAAGCAAGTTTAGCTTATTTTTACTTTATTTATGATCATATTCTATTATAGAGATTGCGAGGAGGCGGCAAGACTTGCACAATTGGATGGAGGAACTTTCGATGCGGTGGGTTTTATGTGTATTGCATAAGCCAGGTCTAGAATTTTAGGGCCTGAGCTGGGCTAAGCCAAGGCTAGGCCTAGCTTGGGCTCTTGGCCCAAGCTAGGCCAATTAACTTAAGGGCTGGGGATAAAAGTGCCTGATTTGCCAGAAGCCAGCTCTAGGTCTGGGCCTGGATCTCGGCTTGGCCTGACGGGCTATCTGGCTGGCTCTTGGCATAGCTTGGTCTAGCTTGGCCTAGCTTGGCCTAGCTTGACCTAGCTTGGCCTAGCTTGGCCTAGCTTGACCTAGCTTGGCCTAGCTTGACCTAGCTTAGCCTAGCTTGGCCTAGCTTGGCCTAGCTTAACCTAGCTTGGCCTAGCTTGGCCTAAGTCCTGAGTTTAACTGGAATATTTCTGGATCTAGGTAATCAACTATAGCTAACCCCAGTTTGATTAGATGCTCAATCATTAATAGAAGCCTAAGCATTAATAGAAGCTCAATTTAAACAACAACAACAACAACAACAAACAACAACATCAGATTCTAAATCAATCAAACAACCCGAAATCCCTTTAGCAATACCAAATCACGGTTTTCGTTTGTGTGAATACCCAATCCGGTCGGGTTGTTCCCGAGCGAATGTGCGCAGATCGAGAAAAACCAAAAATCCAGCGAAAAGAGTGTCCACTGCTCGTCTGTCCATCAAGGTTTTTGTTTAAGAATTTCTAAATCTCTTTATCATTTCAATTTAGATGTCGGTAAGTGGGGAAAAACCGGTAAAATTGAGCTTTTCTAAAGTCAAAAAAAAGGCTAAAACCGTTTGCTGTGCGATTTTTTTGAAGAAAAGGAAAAAAAATGCTCCGCTTTTCACAACACTTTTCATTTGCGCTTTCGCAAAAAAATTTTTTTGTTTTGCATGGAGATTTTGAAGAGATTTTCCAATCCGAAATCCAATTTGATACAAAAAAAACTGAAAGAAAAAGCATGGTGTGAATTGAAATTGCATAAAAAGGCATTAAAAATTAATCAAAGATGATTTTTGACCTAAACGCTTGGGATCTAGTGCACTAAATTCTTGATTTTACAAGGGTTTTTACCGAAAATATGCACCAAATGATAGTTTTCCGTGCGCCAGATGCCTTGCGTTTACTCGAAAACCCAATCAAGTCTTTCACAGTGATTAAAGGCAGAATAAATTGAGGCGTACTTTGTGCTCTCACAAACGCAAACCTCTTCGCACATCAAGAACAATCAGTAGACCAGAAAGCAAGCGTTTATGAGAGCACAGAGTACGCGCCTGACTTTCCTCTACCTTTTCCAACAAAATTCATTCAGATGGCTTGCGTCGGATTGGTCGGAATGTGTTCCGACGTGCGGAAGTGGTTTGAGACAAAGGACTGTTTATTGTGTACAGCAACAAGAGAATCATTCAATCAATGTACTCGATAAATATTGTTTGGCTGAAAAGAAGCCGGTGAGTGGGGAAAAGAAAGTTATTAGGTTATTTTTTCCGCCAGGTTTACCGCTACAACTTTGTAAAGTCATATAAATCTTCTAGCTAATTAATTAGAAAATAGGCTTGGATACAGGAGATATACTCAAAAAGCTCCAAGCTACGGGAGCTCCAAAAATTTCATACGGATTCATTGAGTTTTCGCTGAGCTAGACGCTCAAAAGTGAATCGCTATAATTTACGGTCATCCTGTATCGCTATTATAATAATAATAAGCTGGTGAATAAGCCTTTTCGTTTCTTTTCATACTTTCGTAGAAAAATATAAAAAAATTATTAATTCGGTGCATTTGTTGGTATTTGTTGATAGTCTAGCCGAAATGTCGCCGCGACTACAGTAGGACAAGACAGAAAGACAGACAGAAAGACAGACAGAAAGACAGACAGTAGGATACGGTAGACAGCCAGAAAGACAAGCATTTGTTGGTTTGGTTAAATGGCTAGCCGAAATTTTGCCGCGACTACAGTAGGACAAGACAGAAAGACAGACAGTTGGATACGGTAGAAATCCAGAAAGACAGGCATTTGTTGGTTTGATTAAATGGCTAGCCGAAATGTCGCCGCGACTACCGTAGGACAGGACAGAAAGACAGACAGACAGACAGAAAGACAGACAGTAGGATACGGTAGACAGACAGAAAGACATTTATTGGTTTTGTTAAACGGAAGTACGATAAGGAACGAAACGATTTTATAGCTAAAGACATCTTCGACTTGTCTAAACCCATCATTTCCAGCCCTCATCAGAATCATGTGTCTCAAAATCATGTGGTACATGGGATCCAGGTGCATGGACATCTTGTTCAGTCTCTTGTGGAACAGGGACACGTTCAAGAACGGTAAACAATCAGAAGTTGAAAATAATAAGATTTCGTCAAAACTTACAAATACGTTTTTTCTAATGGAGCTGAATGGAGCTAAAAGAGTTGCCGGTTTATTGTTGGCATTTCCACCAATTAGAGACATTTCCACAAGCTTCAACGATGTTCTCGTGATGAAAAATTCTAGGTGAATTGTGTCGGTGGCACCGATTGTGACAAGTTGAAGAAGCCACAGGTAACTTTGACTGTGCTGTACGTAAATTGTACGTCTGAATTGATCCGATAGATTCAAAAACGGACGTCCGGTTCTGAATCGGACAAAATTCAATAATAGACGTAGCATATCAGTATTGTTAGCATATCAGTATTGTTAGCATATCAATATTGTCAGCATATCAACATGTCAGCATTATCTTTAGGTTCGACAAGCATGTTATGCAGGAATTCCATGTAATGTCATACCGCCACAAGCACTCACCATGGGAGATGAGAATTCGTGGGTTTTAAAGGAAAGAAATAAAGAAATAAAGCAATAAAGAATTAAAGAAATAAAGAAAACAAAGAAAAGTCTTTAAATAATAGAGTTGTAGCATTTAAAATAAAGAATTAAAGAAATCAAAGCACGGGGGTTGAATCCCGATCCTGTGGGTCGTAGACAAGCGCGCTCCTCACTGCGCCACCACGACTAGGCGCCTCAAAACATCTAGGAAAACCAGCTTGAAGCGAGTTTCATCGTTTCCATAATATTGATAATATTCTGTATCCAAATCTGCACCCCAATGTTAGTTTATTTGTTTCCCAAAGATTCAAAGCACTTCTTTCCCCTTCTCTCTGATAATCCCACTCATTTTTCTTCTACTTACTTCTTTTATCGAAAAGAATCCATAGTGGCAACTCTTTCCTTGTCGCTTTGTCCCTTTTCTATCCAACGGACCTTCTTAAAGTCCAATAGACCCATCTTCTGGCCCTTCTTTCCCTTCTTCCCCCTCTCCCCCTCTTCCCCTCTTCCCCTTCTTCCCCTTCTTCCCCTTCTTTCCCTTTCACTGACAAATGGGTGCTTTGGCAATTCTTTTCTTTTAAATCTTTACCTCAAAAGAGATCAACTAAAAAGTGATAGATACGATTTGGGAAAGGTCACTTCAACAAAAGGATACATGTAAAAGTACTGAGCTGTTAAAATGCAGTACTAGTAGTACTGGTGAGCCTGTGCCAGTGAGCCAGTAAGCCTGAAAACTAGAAACTAAAGCTCGTTGAAAGGTTTCAAATGTAAATTTGCTGCTACACATTGTCTATATTAACTTTAAATACTAATTTCAGAGCAAAAGTTCAAAAGAGTCAGACCAAAACTATGTTAAGGCCTGACTTCTGAACTGTACTTGCAAGTCCTGCATCAATTTGTTGCGCTTTCCTTCTCTTTCTTCCTTTCTTTCTCTTCCTTGTCTTTTTTATGTCTTAGGCAAATAGCTCAATGGTAGAGCTGATAGCTCAGTGGTAGAGCATCTGGTAAGCAAAAGGTCGAGAGTTCAATTCCCCTTGGTTCCAAATTCTTCCCCATTTCTTTATTTTAAAGCCTGCATTTCAAAAAGGCAAAATTGGAGAAATTAATTTAAATCCTTGAACTTTCTTGATGATTCTTGTAGACAGCTCTTGTATTCCCCATGAATTCTCTATCAAATTGAGGTCAGGAGATCAAGCAGGCCAGTCTAAAGTTGCCATGTTGCTCTTGACATGTTGCTCTTGACATGTCATTATTGCTATGTTGTTGTTGTTCAGTCAGTCTCGGGTATCTCCGGCTCGATGAATTGACGCGTTGTCGTGTTGAAACACATCGGGAACGCTTGGATTTAGAAGCAAAAACGGCAGCAAGCAATTGTCCAAGATATCTATATAGTCAAAACGTCAGTCTCGGGTCTCGCTTTATCCGTTGTCCAGGCTTTGAAGCCAGCTTCAGAGCCATCTTCAGAGCCACCGTTCCATCAGCACAAAAGGCCAGCCATCACAGAACCACCGCCATAGTTTCGAGTTCCAAACACGATCGGATCACGTGGAAGATCCCTCCAATACTAGTCAACGCCATCATCGAAATTCGATTTCTTCGCGGGATTCCATTTCGCGGTATCATCGAAATTCCATTTGTTCTCATTGGAAAAGATCATCTAAACGAGAAAAATTAATAGAAAATAAGTTGCTTTCTAACCTTAGACCAATCCTGGTTCATATCCTGATCCTGATCCATATCCTGATCCTTATCCATATCCTGATCCTGATCCATATCCTGATCCAATCCTGAGCCTTGGCAAACTGCAACCAGGCTTTCTTGTGCAAAAGCGTCACAGCCGGTTGCTTGTTCAACAATTATCGATCGATGTGTGGATTTTCCTTGACGGCTTGCCAAATGGAGTCGGAGTTAGGCTAAATCAGCTGCTGGCTAGGCCGGAACAGAGTTGATCAAACCAGGCCAGGCTAGACTGAATCCTGGGCTAAACCTTGGCTAAACCTGGGCTAAGGTGATACCTAAACCTTGGCTAAACCTGGGCAAAACCTGGGCTAAGGTGATACGTTTAGGTGATACCTAAACGAGAAAAATTAATAGAACATAAGTTGCTTTCTAAACTTAGACCAATCCTGGTTCATATGGGCCTTGGCGAACTTGGCTTTGGCCTTGGCGAACAATCGGGCTTTCTTGTGCATCACGGGCGGTTGCTTGTTCAAAAATCGATCAATATATGGATTTTTCTTGATATTTCCATATTATTAATATTAAATATACCGTAAATACAGTAATAGTACCCCCAGTCCCATAATGACGGTGCGAAGCGTTGCGTAGTCTAGCTTTGAACGAGTGTTTCTCGACACTGGTTTGTGCTACAATGGGCGCTTAGGTGTCAAAAAATAGCCCTGAATTTCAGCTATTTTTTGATACCAAAGATGCATTTTTTGAAAGTACGGGCGCTTTGAAAAAAATGAAATACTAAATACTAAAAAACTTTTGCGACTACGCGACTGTACGGGGGCTACTATTACAGTATTTACGGTAATTATAATTAATAGATACGCATATTCTTCAGCTTTTCAAGTGTTGTTCTTTGATCTAAAAGAGAGCTAAAGATCTAAAGGAGGAGCCCATTCAGCGCTCCGAGTCCCGCCCACTTTTTCGATTGAAGGTCCCAAGGTGCCCGCAAGGTCCCAATCCTCTTCAAAACTAAGAAATCTCAGAATTCATCCTATTTCCTATTATCTTAATAACTAAATACTTATTTTAAACAATTTGAAAGCTTTCCAGAATCTAGACTCATTCTCAACGGGGTTTTCCCCAAAAATGGGGCGCTTTGAAGAAAAATTACGGTTTCTCCTCTTTCTATATTCACTAAATTTCTACATTTCGCCAAGCTCGGGATTGTGAGTTTTTTAGATTCTAATGATTCTAATGATTCTAATGATTCTAATGATTCGAATGTTTTGACGGTTTTGACTGTTAGTTTAGACAATAGTTGTTATAACATAGTTGTTACAACATAGACAATAGACAACATAGTTTAGACTTTTGTTGAAAAAGCAATGATAATTGCTATGATATGATAAGACAAAGTTATAATTAGAAGTCAAATTAGAACTCAAATTAGAACTCAAATTAGAAGTCAAATTAGCTTCAAATTAGCTTCAAATTATAGCTCTTTTTCTAATTTAGCCGAATCTTGTTCTATTCTTGACTCTGAATCTTGCCAATTCTATTCTTGACTTCTATTCCAATTCGATTACATCTCATTCCATCATTTCTCATTCCAATCCTTTTTGATAACTCTTCTCCAACTTCCAGAAATAGCAATTTGAAATTCTAAACAGTTCTAAAGCAGTTCTAAACAATAGCAATTTGTGGTTTTCTTGAATTGTGATAGAGAATTGGGATTGTCTATGGAGAAAGATTCTTCTTGTTGTTCCTCAAAGATTCTCCTTGTTGTTCCTCAAAGATTCTCCTTGTTGTTCCCCAAAGATTCTTCTTGTTGTGCCCATTGAAATCTCCCGAGGGACTCATATCACACCTCTAAATCTCTATACAAATCCCATCCCTTTTTTCAGGAGAAGATTGTGTTCTTTCAAGTTATCAGAACTGGTTTTCATTGAGTGAGTATCGAAGGAGAGACCAAGCCAATCATTGCTTGTTTTAGCTTTATTGCAAGTCTCTTAAGAGCCAGTCAATCATTGCTGTCAATATTGAAATCAGTATTGCAATCAGTATTGCAATCAGCTCTTAAAAGACTAGAAACTCGCCAGAAATTCGTCAATTTTGGGTTGATTTTGAACAACTAGAACTAGAACTAGAACTAGAACTAGAACTAGAACTAGAACTAGAACTAGAACAGAACTAGAACAGAACTAGAACTAGAACTAGAACTAGAACAGAACTAGAACTAGAACTAGAACTAGAACTAGAACTAGAACTAGAACAGAACTAGAACTAGAAAAACTCATACCCTCATCCCGAGAAAATGGTTTTGATCTGAAAATGGCTGAAAGAAAGCCCAAAGAAATCGCTCAAAGAAATCGTATCATTGCCCATCTGAACGAGTTGCCAAAGCATGTGGTTCAGGTGTGCATTCGAAGAAAGCTTTGAGGTTCAATCAAAAAGGATTCAATCAGATCCCATTCATCCCATTCCATCCCTTCAATCCTTTCATTTCCCCCCTCCTCCACTCGATTTTATTATACGGCCTTTTTTCTCTCCCTTCCGCTTACAATCATTCAATTTTACGGCTTTCCTTTGTGGATTTTGTGGATTTTGTGGATTTCCTCAAATTTCCAGGCTTTAGAGTGTTCAGGGTTGAATTCTGAACTTGTGTCGAAATTTGGGTCATACTTTTTGCTCTTACAGAAACGCATGACTTCTGTAGCTTGAGTCTCAAGATTTCTATTGAATTGAATTAAAGTATAGCAAGATTTGCCGTATCTAAACGGAATCTAAACGCAGTCATTTGGAGCTGATTCGAAGCTGATTCGAGGCTGATTCGAGGCTGATTCGAGGCTGATTCGAAGCTGATTCGAGGCTGATTCGAGGCTGATTCGAGGCTGATTCGAAGCTGATTCGAGGCTGATTCGAGGCTGATTCGAAGCTGATTCGAGGCTGATTCGAGGCTGATTCGAAGCTGATTCGAGGCTGATTCGAGGCTGATTCGAAGCTGATTCGAGGCTGATTCGAGGCTGATTCGAAGCTGATT